CCGTACTTTGAGTATGGTCCATTATCAAGTTCAACAATGTGAACGAGGCGAGGCAGCTTCAACGGGTGGCTATATTGGGACTGGGCGGCCAGGAGACCGCGACCGGCGTACACCTGGAGGATATCTGTTGCCTCACTGCTTCGCGGGATTGACCATAAACAGTGTAATATTGTGTAATCCACCAGGTTAGTCAAAACCTCAGTTCGTAGGGTATTTTAAAGTGAAAACTTGATATTTGGAGCTATATATGTGAACCGTAGAAGGAAATAAACTATTTTTTGTCTGTATATATAACTTAGCATTTTCATTTACTAATCATCCAACAACAGGCGCCCTGGGATACTTTTATTTTGATCCTCGAGTCCCTTAACTCTCCGACAACCGTAGCCGGTGAGTAACGCCCTAAAAAAGTGTTATACTAAGAGAGTCAAGATCCGTCTAGAAATTTCGGGACCGATATTTACTCGAACATTCTAGATGTTTCTACAGTAGAAGGTTCTGGAAACTATCTGAGGCCCTATATAGGGCCGGTATAGACCACGACCGAGGCAGTATTGAATTGGCGATACAAGCGAATACTTGAAGCGAACTAAAGTGATCAGTAGTACAATTGTGTTTTATTATTAGTGTGGTTTTAAGTTGTAATTAGTGTTGTAACATTACATTATGAACTCCCACAAACCCAACTAGATGGCGCTGTACGTAGGTAAATCACGCCAACAAGATATACTCCGATTTGCTATATAGGGTCCGAAGCCTGCTTTAGTTTATATAATTTTCACTAGGAATTCCTAGACTGCAAAATAGCTTCTTCCACCTGGTGGGGCAGTATATTTGAACATTAAGGAACAACGCGCCTACAGAGGTTAGCTTCCCTCGTGGAACTTAAGGTTGAAAACTGTCTGTAGGAGCGAAGTACAGTTAACATTATTGTAATAATGTGTCGTACAATAAAATCGAGTTTTCGTATCTCCGTCTATTATTACTCGCCGTCCGGACTATCCTCCCGTCTCATTACAATTGACGCCCAACTGGAAGGCCAGACGAACAACGACAGCTCTGCAGAGAACTCCCCGGCACAGCGTTTGATGAGTGAGGAGAGCGATTACGATCTTGTGGACGATTATCATCTAGAGCGACACAGCTACACGACAAAATTTGGAAGGAAGACCCATATCACCAGGATGACGGATAAGACAGCGATTACACTAACGGATGAACAATTTGAACGACTGCTTTCCCGTCTGTCACCGCCTTCAACGTCGCGCAGCTCATTCGTTACATGCAGCTATACCTACAATGGTCACAAGTCTAAAGAGGTTGTAGAGGCCTTCTTGACCGCGGTGAATATTTTCAGGCGGAAGGAAGGTATTGATGACAAAACAGCCTTAGAAGAACTCCCTCTATTGCTCAAGGAGGAAGCAGGGATATGGTGGCAAGGAGTAAGCAAACAAATTACTACCTGGTTAAGTTTCGATGCACGTCTGCGCGAAAATTTCGCACCTGTTAAAGAATCTTACCTAATCTATTTAGAAATTACTCAAGAAAAACAAAATTTTGGTGTTACCACTGAAGAATTTGTGCGTAGTAAGCCCCTCCTTTTCTCACAACTCCCAGATCCCGCAAACCCGGAAGAGCAGCAACTAGATATTATCTATGGTTTGCTTAGGATAGACATCAGAGATAAGATACCGCGTTCGAATATTAAGAATTTTGATGACTTACTAAAAAATGCTCGTACTGTCGAACATCTACTGAATGAAAAAGAAGTATCTGGAACAACTAACAACCAAGAAGCCATATACACGCACAAAAAAAAAGAAATGTAAGTACTGCAAAAATATGGGGCACGTAGTTGAAAACTGCAGGAAAAGGATATTGCACTTTTCAAAGGTCACTGCTCCCACAGCTGATCTTTCAAAGATGGGTTTCCCCAAGGAGGCAAATACACAAGCCCCGTCACCAAGTTCACCAAACTTCAGTTGTTATGGATGTGGAGCCCCTGGTGTTGTTCGCACTAATTGCCCAACGTGCCACAAGAAAAAGAACCAGTCACCACCTAAAGAGCATACCGCTGTTAGTGCCGTTTATGCTTCAATCGATGCCAGAGACCGGCCTGTGGTTTTTATTGAGGTGGAAGGTATGTCAACCGCGGCCTACATAGATTCTTGTGCGAAATCCAGCGTGGCTTCGTACGACCTATACTGTAAGTTAAAAAAGGAAGGGTATCGGTTTATAGAGGGTTTTGTCAACATAACTTTAGCAGATGGAATCTCACAGAATACCAGCGTAAAATAGCAGCTTAACGCTGCTGTGTTTCGTATGGTGAGTGTAGAGAACCGGAGACCCTTTTTACTGGAAACGAGGCATTCCATCTTAGTCCTCACGGGTGACAACGCATCTGCATTTTGATTCTTAATCGAAGATAGATGTAGATGTCTATGGGCCACAGCAACCACTTACCATCAGGTGGACTGTGTGCTCGTTTGTCACCCTTATCCTATAAAAAAAAAATGGAATTTGAAAAATGGAACGGGGCCGGCTGAAAATCAGCGCTGCAAGCTCGCGGCATATGCTGAGACGGTCCCTTCCACCATTTCATCATAGCACACCATTTTATTTTTATATTATTTTTTTTTTTATTTATTTTTTTTTTGATTGGACGCACTGTTCTTTATTCATTTTTTATTGTTTGTTTGTTTATAAGTCACTTGTTTTATTTTTAATTGTAATTTGTCATGTGTGTAGATGTAAGTGTTGGAATAAATGTCTTTATGTCTTTATGAATAAAAAGGAACCAAGCGGTACTGGTAGCAACTGTGCCTATTAAATTTAATGGCCGCACCGTGCCGACAACAATGCTAGTCTTGCCCGAATCACGCAATGTCCGAACTCTTCTTAGTGTAGGATTCATACAAGACTCCCTGTTGGTTTTAAATTTGCCTCAAGCTACTTACTCTTTCGTGGACGACCCTCACCAAAAATATGAACTTTATGGAGAGAGTTTCGTCAGTTTCGAGAAGGACGTTAAGCTTTCACCAGTCAAAGTGGACATAGATTCATTGCCTAATTTGCCAGAGAGTAGTGCAACTGAGGTAGGATTTATGAGACCTTATAAACTGAGGCCTATTGACATCTCTTCTCCGCCTCCAAAGAAACAGTGCACTCAACTGTTTGATGGTTACTCGCCTGTAATGGATTCACTGTACGCAGATGCCCAAATTAGTCTGATGGAGTACGATCAAAATGGTTTGGAATCAGATCTTTTTCCAGATACAGGAATCTCCTTAGTGGATGCATCCATGCTAGATGACCTACTCATTCACATTGCATCAGTGTTTACTACAAACGGGCAACCCGTAAATAGTTTTGAGCACTCAATTGACACTGGTGACCATAAACCAATTTCTGTCTCCCCATATCGGCTCTCACCTCTAAAAAAGAATATTTTGCAAAAAGAGACTGCTAAAATGCTCGATGAAGGTATTATCGAACCTTGTACTTCACCTTGGGCAGCACCCGTTGTTATGGTACCCAAAAAGGAAGGAGGCATAAGAGTATGCATAGATTATCGGCAACTTAATGCCATAACAGTTCCAGACACTTATCCGCTACCCAGGATTGATGATTTGTTACACGATGCTAAGCCTACACCTTACATGAGTACCATAGACCTTCGAGCTGGATACTGGCAAATCAGGGTCAAGGAAGCTGATCATAATAAAACAGCATTTGTTACACCGTTTGGGATATATAAATTCAAAAGAATGCCCTTTGGATTGCGTAGCGCTCCAGCAACCTTTCAAAGAATGATGGACAGGTTTCGGATAACCCTGAGCCACATTAAAATTTTGATCTACTTAGATGATTTGATCGTGATGTCTGCAACATTCGAAGAGCACCTAAAAGACCTACAAAGTGTCTTTAATAGACTCAAAGAATTTAACTTAATCGCTGATAGAGAAAAGTGCAATTTTTGTTGTTCCAAGGTCAAATACTTGGGTCACTATATTACCCCTAATGGATTAGAAGTAAATCCTGATAAGATTAATTCTATATTGAAGATGCCACCTCCGCGAAATCTCAAGCATTTGTTATCTTTTATCCAAATGTGCTCCTGGTACAGGCGCTTCATACCCAATTTTGCTAAGATTGCTGAGCCACTAACACGTTTAACGAAAAAGAATGTTGAGTGGAAATGGGAAGACGAACAAAGAAGGGCTTTTGAAGAATTGTGTAAGCTATTGACAACTTCACCTGTACTTGTACAAGCAGATGAAACAAAACCGTACATCCTCAAAACTGATGCTAGCAGTTATGCTATCGGTGCAGTATTAGTGCAGGGGGAGGGCGAAAAAGAACATCCTGTCGAGTATGCCAGTCGGCTCTTAACGAAGGCTGAGCGCAACTACTCAACAACGGAACGAGAGGCTCTTGCTTTGGTGTGGGCTGTAGACAAATTTAGAGGCTATATAGAAGGAGCAAAAGTAACAGTCTTGACTGACCATCAAGCTCTTAAGTGGCTTATGTCCCTTAAGTCCTCTACAGGACGCTTGGCACGATGGGCTCTACAACTTCAACCTTTTGACTTAACGATAAAATATATCACTGGTCGTACAATTTGCATGTCCCGACCAAATTGTGAACCTGAAAACGAAGTAGATTGTGGCGTTTGCTCTGTTGTTATTGATATGCCACGTAAACGATCCGAAGATATAAGAGCTGAGCAGTTAAAGGATGAACAAATAGCCAAGACAGTGGAATGTTTAGAAGGAACAGATGAGAAAAAAGCTAGATACTGGAGCCGAAAAGGATACGTCATGAATCAAGGGTTACTGTATCGATACGGAACCGACAATAATACCGAAGAAGCCCAGTTAGTTGTACCAAAACACGAATAGCTTAAAGTCATACAAACATATCACGATGAAGCCATAGCTGGACACAATGGTCCGATGATGACAATCGAACGTATTACGCAGCGTTATTTTTGGAAAGGAATGAGGGGACAGATTGAGGCTTATGTTCGTAAATGCTTGTATTGTCAACGATATAAGCCTTCTAATCAGAAGTCAGCAGGTCTCTTACAAACCAAAATAAGCAATCAACGGTTTGAAGTAGTTGCATTTGACCTTTTTGGGCCATTACCCCGTACACCAAACAATCATAGTTGGATTTTCATTGTAGAAGATGTGACTACACGTTGGCTAGAATTGTTTGCTTTAGAGCAAGCAACGGCGGAAGAATGTGCAAGAATACTGCTTAATGAGATAATACTGAGATATGGTACACCACGTCGATTCATTAGCGATAACGGTTCACAGTTTGTCAGCAATGTGGTACAGCAGCTAACATTTTGCCTGAACATACAAAATGGATTGACAACCGTATATCATCCTGAAACTAACCCAGTAGAAAGACGAAATCGTGATCTTAAAACACAGCTTGTGATTTTAGTCAAAGGTGACCACACTCTATGGTCCGATAAGTTACCTAGCATACGTTTTGCTATGAATACTGCTCGTTCAAGTACTACAGGGTTTACTCTAGCTTACTTGACATTCGGGCGTGAGCTACGAACTCCAGATGACGTGATACACGACATACGTAAAGTAATTAAGAACGAAACCTTTATTCCAGACATAACACCGAGACTGTTAATGATGTCTGAAACAATCAAAAGAGCAAAAGAAATTCAGGAAATGAAAGAGGAACAGAGAAAAGAGTATGTGGATCAAAAAAGGCGACAAAGTCCAAACTATCAGTCTGGAAGTCTAGTACTGGTGGACTCGCATACCCTAAGCAAGGCTAGTCATGGATTTAGCTCAAAGCTTGCTCCCCGGCGTGACGGACCTTATGTCATCACGCGTAGGCATGGGCCAAGTTCATCTGAAGTTGCGCATTGTGATACCAAAGTACCAGCTGGGATTTATCATACATCTGCGCTACGACAGTATCATACCGGAAGCAATGCTGAAATACCACAACCTGTAAACGTACTCCGGAAAAGAGGTCGACCGAAGAAGAAATCCAATTAATTCCTACCTTACTTTTCGGGACCCCTGCGTAGGCAGAGGGGGAGACTGTAACATTACATTATTAACTCCCAGAAACCCAACTAGATGGCGCTGTACGTAGGTAAATCACGCCAACAAAATATACTCCGATTTGCTATATAGGGTCCGAAGCCTGCTTTAGTTTATATAATTTTCACTAGGAATTCCTAGACTGCAAAATAGCTGCTTCCACCTGGTGGGACAGTGTATTTGAACATTAAGGAACAACGCGCCTACAGAGGTTTGCTTCCCTCGTGGAACTTAAGGTTGAAAACTGTCTGTAGGAGCGAAGTACAGTTAACATTATTGTAATATTGTGTCGTACAATAAAATCGAGTTTTCGTGTCTCCGTCTATTATTACTCGCCGTCAGGACTGTCCTCCCGCCTCATTACAGTGTTCTGTAATTAAAGTGCTAATTTTGGTAATTCAATCGGCAGTTTTAGTTGTCTCGAACCCCAAGGTCGTAACAATATTTTAGGAAAGCATTGAACTTAAAGGTCGTTCCAATATAAATTATTATACAAATTTACAAGTTTGCACGTTTACCGTTAAAAAGGAACACCTTTGTCGTATCTCCTCAATTTCAGAGCACTTCCCTTGTTGCCGTAGCCAATAGCGGAATCTTCAGCATCGATATATCGAATGAACTGCAGTAGCATGATCACTAGGAAGAGAAAGCTAAACTGGCTTCTAAAAAGCTTGGCGTACTAAGTAGAGCGGGACACTACCGTGAACAAAAAAGCGACCATTTGCAATTTTATAAGTGCAGGTTCGGCCTCACATGGAATACTTTCCTCATCTCTGGACCGGGGCTCCCGAGTGCGAACTCCTTCCACTTGACTGTAGAGCAGAGCGGCTCGTTCGTCGATGACCGAGTTCTCTTTAATTGGATCGATTTTCAATCGTATTTAAAACGGGGAGTGCTCTGAGAAATGGTTCGGATTAGTTCAAGCCACCAAATTTCACCAACACACATCATGACAGAACTTACGTTACCATCCACATCATTTGGATGCTTAGCGGTCCACTACCGTGGGATTTATTAGGAGTTTTCTTAGGGATTGTTTACCAACTGCAATTTTTATGGACCGATACGACTTAGAGACCTTCAAGAAACGAGCTTGCTTCTTTTTAAAGGCCGGCAATGCATCTGCAATTCTCCTGGTGTTGTAGAATTATATTAACATATAAAAAAGGCTATCTTGTTGACTGACTGTACTGGTGGAACTGGCTGACATATATGTTTCTTGTTAAAACCAACGACCTTGTGCCCCGACACAGGCCCAGCCGATTTCTTTATTGGTACCGGTACAGTATCGTTTAATGTTTCACCTTCTTAAATATTGTAGATGATTAAATCGGCATCAGGTGTAATATTTTTTATCAATAACAATAATTGATAAATGTTGTCAATCACTAACCCTTTGGTAAATAAATCATGACGTTACTGGATAACACAGGGCGCTTATTACAATAATGATAAATGTTCTGAAACAATCTACCAGAAATAATAAAATTTAAAAATTATTGGGTAAATATACATTATTCTTGCGATAATAAACCGAAATCACATTCAGTTTTTGCTACATATCGGGACTTACAATACCTTAATGCACAATCGGGCATATTTTCTATAAAAAATATTTTTTAAACTTAGGAAACGAATGCGTCTTGAACTTTTGACGATGTCACCGAGACTAAATGACACAAATCCGAAATATATCCTATAGGACATAAGTAAGAAGTGACAATTTTGTTGCTGATGTCCGGTCTATTACTACTACTTAAATGTCTTTGTGGGAAACGAATGTACTTGTGCAGAGCGACAGTGGCGGCCACGCGGGGCAGGGAACGGGCCGATCGACAACGCCTGCGGTTTTATAGTACTTATTTAAATAATTTTAAGTGCCGTTTTCAAAAAATAATATATCTAGAATGGTAAATTACTGTTACAGTCATATGAGTTACTAAGTGAAATTTAATTCAAATGACGGCCATGCTTATGTTTCCCTCTTTATTTTTTTGATAAAATTGTTTATCCGAATGCGAATACACATAATTAAATTTATATAAAAAGAAAGCGTCAAGGCGTTTCACAACTGTAAGGTCTAAACTATGACAATACTGAAGAAAATCATACTGTAGGGGTTACGTCGTTTTACAGATAAAATAATATTACCTGATGTTGTACCAAATCCTCGGCTATTATGGGCACTCCGCAGAACTCACAAGGCAGCTGCACATTTTGCAACTCCTCTACTCCCCCAGCTGCCTCATCATCTTCCGATTCGTCTTCATCTGTGTCGTCGTCGTCAGAACTAACTCTTGCTTCTAGCTCATCTCTTACACGCTGCTGCAATCTATCGTTACCTCTTTCATTGCCGCTACAAAATAAATATTCAAAATATGAATACCATTACCGTTACTTTATGTCAAGAATCCACTACTGAACACAGGCCTCCCCATAGATTGCCTGAACTTATAGCTTTTTATTTTTTAGTTTTCATTAGGAAGACACTACTAACCATCTCCTGTTTCAGTTTACCTCTACGAGTCGACTCTTACGACACCCACGGGTCAATATGGGGTAGTAGATAATATTTTTATGCTGCCACTAAAAATATGAATAGACAGCTTTAAAACTCCACTGCAGAGAGCAGAGATAGACAAGTGACTTTCCCTTATTTTTGCGAAAATGTCTTAAAATGTCCACGAAACTTCTTCATATTATGTCCCATTTCCTCGAAAATATATTTATATGTGTGTAAGGGCGCGAGTAAGAGAATTCATCAAAGTAATCCATCCAATAAGAGGCGACAGAGAAACTGGAGAACAGCATCTACCTAAAAACAACTCAAAATAATAACAAAACTGGTTGGCAACCGCAGTTTTTTATGGCTCCAAAGAACAGTTACTTAAAAAAACATAAATTTGATCCAAGAACAACCTTCTTTTTTACATGGGGAATATCCCAATAATAACGGATAAATATCGTTAAAAAATTTACCTGTACATTATTCGAAAGGAGTACTATACGAAAGGAATAAAAAAAAATACTTACTTATTATTATTACTGTTCATATTTACGTTGTATGGGGCTGTCACCTGCAAATCACAACACATATGTAGTTATGAACAATATTAATAAAGAAATATTTATATATCAATACGTGAAGAGAAAACTTTGTATCCCTTTTAAGCATATTCCGCGCCCGGAGGTGTTTGAGATTTGGCATAGTTAAAGATTATATGAAGAAGTGCAAATACATTAAATAAAATAAAATAGAATATTTATTGTTCATACTGCCTATGTCAAACACGTAATAGTCTGTGGTCAAACAGTCGGATCAAAGGGTATATAATCACTACGTTTTAAGCCACACGAAGTAGAGATTGTCGCCAAAGAATTTTAAAATGTTGCCAACAAATAATTACTGACAGATTGACTGAGTGGACTGTGAATTTTGTGTGATTATAACAATGATTTCGACAGGAAGGATACGCCCATCTAAACATTTTACTTATACCTTCTTCATACAAGCAAAAGTAGCACCATCTGTCATAACACACGAACTACATCAGTGTGCTTGCGTTTACGCTTGCGATGTAACCAGGGCTGGATTTCGAAATATAATAATTATTCATAGGGTGTAGTATGTAGTATCTATGTCATTAGTGGTGAAACAACCCCAGAGAGTAATTAAGTACCTCATTTTGGGGTGTTTCGCTCTTACCCTGGTGCTTAACATTTATCCTGTACTATGCCACTATACTACGCGAAAATACCATAACTTTATCTTCAGGTCGACCGGCTTGTACCTAGTCAGGTCATAAGTATTGTTACACAGTAAAAACTTTTCTTTTAGAATGCTGGCTACAAAAAAGTTTATTGAATTCGAATTTAGAATTGTTCATGAAAATAAAACTGTATACGTTTTAGAATTTTACTCATTTTTAAATATGTAGTGGACGCTTAAAGAAGACCGTGTTGCAGTTATTGCGTTGCATCGTTGCGGTTACGCGCCAATTCAAATTTTTGACATACTGAAAAATTTGAATATAACCAAAAGATTCGTTTATCGTACCATCAAACGATACAATGAAGACTAGTGTAGATGACAGGTCAAGAAATGGTCGCCCTCGGTCTGTTAGGACTCCAGCAGTGATAAAAGCTGTGAAGGCGCGAATTCAAAGAAATCCCAAACGTAAGCAGAAACTGTTGGCCCTTCAGATGGGGTTAAGCAAAACCACGGTGAAAAGGGTGTTAAATAAAGACTTAGGGCTTCGGGCATATCGAAGAAAAACAGGACATCGTTTGAATGCTCGTCTAATGGACCTGAGACTGAAGAGATGCCGCGCTTTGTTGAAGCGGTACGCGGGAAAAAAATATCGGTAAATTCTTTTTTCGGATGAAAAAATTTTTACCGTAGAAGAGAGCTACAACAAACAAAATGATAAGGTGTACGCACACAGTAGTGAAGAAGCGAGCAACCGTATTCCGCGTGTCCAACGAGGTCATTTTCCATCCTCGCTCATGGTATGGTTGGGAGTTTCTTATTGGGGCTTAACAGAGGTACATTTTTGTGAGAAAGGTATAAAAACGAATGCAGTTGTGTATCAAAATACAGTCCTGACGAACCTTGTGGAACCTGTTTCTCATACCATGTTCAATAACAGGCACTGGGTTTTCCAACAAGATTCGGCGCTAGCTCATAGAGCGAAGAGCACACAAGACTGGCTGGCGGCGCGTGAAATCGACTTCATCCGGCACGAAGACTGGCCCTCCTCCAGTCCAGATTTGAATCCGTTAGATTACAAGATATGGCAACACTTGGAGGAAAAGGCGTGCTCAAAGCCTCATCCCAATTTGGAGTCACTCAAGACTTCCTTGATTAAGGCAGCCGCCGATATTGACATGGACCTCGTTCGTGCTGCGATAGACGACTGGCCGCGCAGATTGAAGGCCTGTATTCAAAATCACGGAGGTCATTCTGAATAAACTTTAGTGTCATAAGAATCTTTGTTTTGTTAAGTTCATTTTGGTATATAAATGGTTACATAATGAATAAACTTGTTTCAATTATTTTATATTAAACATGTGACAGAATTTATGACCTGACTAGGTATTATTGGTGGATCCTTTTACTTTTTCATATTTACCCTAGCAAATCAGGCAACGACAGGGTAGACGGGGATTCATCATGTGATGTTTTACTATCCCAGTCGTTCTGACAGAGAGGATATCATGTTCGTGGCAATATTTTTGAATTTGCTATAAACATGATATTGTAATGAAATTTATTTCAATTCAAAACAAAAACACCGAAAAACGAAACATATAGATACGCTCGAGCCTGACACGAAAGCCCCGGCGCATGGGAAAAAATCATAAAAAGTCAAACGTGGTACAAATATTAAGTATAATTTTATTTTCCATGTACAATATTTTTAAGGGTCTGAATTCAACCTTGGCGTAACCTAGTCGCGTTGGCTCTAAACTGTCATTTTAGAGCCTACGCATTGGTGTCCTTTAGTAACGCGGTTGGCCCGGTTCTTACGCTAGTAATATATTAAGTCAATGGCTTTGAATGTTCCTTTTTCAATATTCTATGGAGTGTATGTTAAAGCAAAGAAGCTAATTCTTAATTTTTGAAAGATTTTGTTTGAATATATATATATAAATCTTTAAAAAATGAAGAATTATGGTCGTATTTCGGTCCCTGGGCGCCCATTAGTATATTTTATTTTATATAATCAAAAGTGTCCATGAGTAAAAAGAGGAAAAGTATTTACCTCATTTAAGCCTCTCCTCAATTCCTTTAAAGAGGACTTAATTTCGCTGAACCTATCTCCCCTATCCTCTCTGATTGGCGGCTCTCCACCATCCCTAGAATTCTTTCCAAGCTGCAGCTCTTGAAACCTGTTCATAAACTCTTCCGGTGTCATAGGTTTGAGATTTCTGAAGTCGTCCTGTCTGTTTTCTACCTCTGCATCTTGTGGCATATTTATAATTTTACTTTGTGAGTACCCAAGCACATGACCTATATTACTTTGCACTGGACGTGCCCATCCTTGGAGATATTTCTTCTGATTCGGGTCTGATATTTCCCGGTTGTGTAATGCGTCCATTTTACGAAGCCTGTCTATCTTTTCCGCAGGGTTAAGAACTGGAGGCAATCCTGTTAAAAGGAAGATGTAATAACTAAAAAATAAATTAATCATCATCACCATATCATCATTACAGCCTATCACAACAGCCCACAGCTGAACATAGGGGCTCCCCAAGGCATGCCACAAAGCAAGGTCCTGAGCCACCTGCATCCATCGACATGCTGCATCTCTTAACAGGTCGTCACTCAATCTAGAGCTGCATTGTTTTTATCGCTGCGAAACCTCCATGGATACCTTCGGCTACGGGAGCAACGGAAGGATTACGCTGGGCTCCTACCGGCTAAAGTCCAACAAAGCCATTTTTCACACTTTCCTTTATTGGAAGCACGTCCCGGAGGCAATACTTACTGCCCCCAACAGCCTTGCAATGCAAATCTCAAGACCACTTTCGAGGCATCGTCCTCCTCAAGGGCTACATTGGTGGGCGTTAAAGGCCCGTGACCCAAGCGTCCACAACCCTAGAGGCCTCGTTTCTGGTAGAGGAACAGGGAACACCATCACCAAGGGTATGGCCGTGACGAACGCCTTGCCGACGTCGTCTCCGAGCTGAATCTGTCCTTTCATAACACCGCTCAGAACAAAACAGTTCACTTGATGATAGAAACAGGAAATGGTACATATCGAGACCGACTCTTAGACAAAAACCGAGTCCTATCACCTAATAGTCGTATCAACACGTACGTACGAAGTTTGTGTACATATATTAAGTGGTAAGTATTTAAAAATATATGTCAGGAAAAATAAATTATATACCATCAAGCAGCACTAGTTCAGAAGCAGTGCCAGAAGCAAGAGTGCAAAAATAGCCATGTGCACCTATTTTAAAGCTGCAGCACGAATAGGTCGGCTCGACCGGGGTAGGAGCACGCTCTCATAGAATACCAGCGTAAAATAACAAAATAATGCTATGTTTCGTATGGTCAGGTCTTTCAGGGGTGACAACGCGTCTGCGTTTTAATTCTTAATTGACGATAGGTGTAGATGTAGAAGTAGTTTTTAAGGGAAAAAATACTTACCAACGGACAAGTTATAAGCGTTAATTTCTTTCAGGCGTTTCTCTTCTTCCTGTTTGCGTCGCAAAGCACTTTGGTAGGCCAAGTCCCTTTCTGTTAGGACTGCTCGGGAACCACCAAAAGGTGTAGCGTTTGAGACTCTACTTAGGGCTGTAGAAGAGCCTCCGAAGGTTCTTTGCGGTGAACCGGTGAATGCAGTAGTTGTTGAAGTGTTGGTTCCAGTTGAATTTACACTAGGAGTTGTTGCAGATAATACACTAGGGCCAGGAGATGAGAATGCATTTGAAGCCGCAACTGAAGGTTTAAAGGCAGGTGTAGAAGTAAAGGGACTGGTAGATGCTGTAGCAGATGAGCCACTGTAACCAGCAGTTGAAGATGAATTGGTTGCAGATGGGTTCGTGCAAGGAGGCTTAGGTGCTGGACGCTTCTTAACTGCACCGCAGGATGAAGGCCTGAAACAAAACCCGAATCACGTTAAACAATCACAAAAACAATTTCGATTTCAATTCAAACTTCACAGCAACAAAATTTGTGTTAGTGGTATCGCCTTGACTTCAATTTTGCAAAAAAGCAAAATAATATAGAGGAATATACATTATACTGTTTAGAAAATAGAAATTAGAAAAAGCAACTGAGTATAGTATAATGGTGAAGTGCTGGCCATTGACATCCATCCAGCACTAAACACTGGCTACTGAAAATCTTAAAAAAATCTCTCATAAGTAAAGAGGTCACACCTATGTTCTAAGAGATCAAGGTATGAATTTTCAGAACCATTAAAATGGGAACTCATAGTAGGTACCTGGTATTTGCAATAGTGTTACGAAGGACGTGTTGCTTCAGATTGCACGAGAATGTTCCCGACGATAAGGTAACCTTTGTCAAGTAATAAAATGTGTAGGCATAAAAATAGATAACATTCGCACAATTAAAGCAAGCAAGAAGCTACCTTACGCAAACGAATATAAAGCCTTTTCTCCTTTGGATATTGTTATCGTTATGTTATCGCGAGTGTTCTAATACTTTCCGGTCTTCTTCTCGGTTCTATATTAATTTTATAGAGTATAAAAGCGTACATGCCGGGGATCGGAGAGTTAGTTCTTTCAGGAACGCGAAAGTGAAGTCTACTCTGGGAAGCGACTACGAGTATTCGACCTACGACATCTGCGACTTTTAAGGACCTCACTGAAAAAGCTTAGCAATTTTGGACGACGTAATTATAAACTTGCTGTGTGTGTGTAGAAGAATACATCCATTTTTCATCCTAATCGTCATTTTTACAACAAAATTCCTAAAATAAAGTATCTAAAATATTTTTCTTTTGAGAGGGGACAAAAGAGCATGCGGCTTATCACAACTGCAACCACCATGGGAATAAAGGGTAATCTTGCCGGTTTTTTTAAAAAAAAAAGAGTACTTTCTTTTTTTGAAGGTCCCTAATTCATATAGGTCTGGAAAAATCGATGGTGGTAGCCGATAGGGATAAAACTTCTGGCAGATCCCAGTGGTGAACCACCAATCATGTAGATGGTGGATGAAATTATTTTGAACAATGCTATGTTTGTCTATTTAATTATGATTGTAAGAACAATATCTGAAATGTCACATGTCTAATGCAGGATTAAAATATGCTCCCAATTAAAAAATGCCTACAGAAAGAAGTATTAGGTATGATTATATCGTGAAATATTGGGAGAAAGAGCAGTTGGTCCAGTGGACAGGGACACTTTTGATGGGGTTTATGGGTGCAGTTTCATTTTTATCCAATCACTAACAACTGAAGCTGAAAGAACAATGACTCAATCAGACAGTGGGGTAATCGCCACAGGCTAACATCACATCGCTAAAATAACCTAAAATAGTTTACTGCGCTACTAAGTGTCAGCGCTTAAAATCTCTACCATTATTAGACATTAGGAAAGCAGCAAATAAGATTGCCTTCAAAAGATTGGTCCGGCAACAGCTTTCGAAAACAATGTCGTCATATTATGTATACAGGGTTATTTTTCAAAGAGTAGCCAAATTTTAAACTTAAGTTGAAATATATAATGGTATACCGTTGTTGCAATTTTCGAAAATACGAGTGAATAAGGCAAGGAAAAAGATTAAAGGACAGAATTTTTGAGACTTTTTTAATTAATTTTTTTGACCATCCGCCTGTATTACTTATTCTGTACCTTCTCTGCAAATTTGGCCGGTTATTGCAAAATAACCCTGTATTTATTTATATATATATATATATATATATATATATATATATATATATATATATATATATATATATATATATATTAAGAATAATTGTTATATTATATAGATTATTATGTATTTATTTGTTTGTATTCGTATGTATGTGTGTAATTTACAAGTCTTATTTTAATGTGCTAATCTATATAAATTTATTATATTTAGTTAATCAAGTCACCTGCCACTAATTTCTCACCACGCCATGGGTTGACTGGCAGAGAATGCTAAATGGCATTAAGTCCGACCTTTGTAACTGTTGTAGTTAGTACAATAAAGTTTTTAATGAAATAAATAAAATAAATAAATACAGAAAGCACAATGGCAGAAAAATTGTATTATATTATTATATTAAGTTATTATTAGTAATAACTATAGTATCAGTAATAATAGAAATAAAAGTGATATAGTTGAAAATAAATCTCTTACAAAGAACTTCCTACAATAATACATTATCTCAATCATAGTAATATGTAACAATTCCATTTAATGTTATGGCAACACTAGCTAAAACAAAATGTCACTGTTTTTTATACTGGCTTTACAGCTCTGGGTTGTAGCCCTTCTGAAAATGTCACTGTATGACACAAAGGCCCTGGAGCCATGCCAGAAATATAAATTTATAGTATGCAAATATATAATAGAGATACAATAATCTAAAAACTCTCAATTATGTAGATAGTTACATTATGTTGAGAATGTATTAAGCTAATATCAAACAACCACAGGACGCATGACTTTTTCCAAGTGACATAGGACATAACCTAAAAAGATTCAAATCTAAATATCTTTTTTGACGCCTTCTCAGGACAAAATTCTTAGATTTAAATTCTTAGAGTTATTAAGGGATGACGCTTAACATTTTAAGATATTTTTGATATATAGACGCTACCATTCCTTCTCAACTAACTTTATGTATGCAAGTCTGCAAGCCATTGTTCTTTAATATACAAGTAAGTAGAGTCGTGGTAGGTAAGGGGATTTTACAAATAATACAGAAATTTTAATTTGAAATGCTATTGTGCTGTTGTTTCTATAGTAGCAATGAATGAAAACATTGTGAGCAAACTTGTATTAAGGCATTAAAAGTATTTCCAGGACATAAGAAGTCTGTCAACACGCGGCGTACCCTCCCGTGGCCGTTACTTTACATAAATGTATGAATTAAAACACAATACTGACCTGTTTAACATTTTGCGAAATGGCAACCCTGTTTTACATTATGGTAGCAGCACCGGATAAGGATCATACTCCCACAAAATACCATAGACAAATATTTTTATTCAAAATTGGTTTTACTTATTATTTTCACTTTTTGAATAAAAATGTTTGACTTTGGTATTCTGTGCAACAGCGTGTTTTGCATAGTGATTGTAGAGAAGCAAAAACCCTTTTTACTGCTAAGAAGGCATTCTATGTTCAGGAGTGACAACGTATCTATATTTTGACCATCAATTGAGGGTAGATGTAGTATAGCTTGCCTCGTAAGAGGGATATATGCTATAGTTGCGATGCTTGGACTGGTTGGTTAGCAGTTTTTCATTATTTTGTATTGTTATCAGGAACATGCTGCTGTTCATCTTCTGTTTCAGTTTCCCTCTGTCGTCTCTTGCGATACCTACGGAGTGATATATGGTTGGGATTCTCTTGAGACGTCACTAAATGGAACAGACTGTTAAATACTTACAAATCTTTAATAACATTATTTTCCATCGGCATCACGTTTTCTTGTGGTTCATTATTATTCCTCTTTGACTGCAATTTAACATTCGTATTGCCTTGAGGTCTGGACATATTAGCATCTGTGTTTAACCCAGAAGTACCAGGACCGGGATCCTCCGTTGTGGTAGGATTATTGAAGTATCTTATTTCGGTTCTAGGTTGGTCTTGAGTCAAATTTATGTTTTTTAGATAACCATTATTCGGAGCCCTGTCGTTGTATACTTTGCTTGTAGATGGACTGGGTCTGTTGAAGGCGTTACTGGGTGTAGGCAGTTTGGGCCAGTCTCCCAGTTTGGGTACGTTTGTGGTCTTCGCTGGTTCTCGTTTGGGTACTGGGATGGGGTCTGTAAAATAAAAAAGCATTTACATTTTCTTTTTGCTTAAAAAACTTTTCCCATTAAAATCTAAGCTAATGTTTTATATACTGTTAGAATCTAAACAAAATATTATGCAAGTGAATGTTTCAAAGCAGGGATTCCCAAACTATTTTCGACAAGAGACCCCTTTTCCAAAATGAACTGATGATACCTCTGACGCCCATTGCCAAATTACTTTAAAAATCTTATATCTAGTTATTTTTTCCTATTGATACAAAATACTTACCAATTTAAAAACTTTGCTTTTGGTTAAGTAAACTTGACATCATTTTCTCATCAAAATTTAACAAAATAAATAGACATAAAATTCAGTAAATCTTATAATAAATATATTATTATAAGATTTACTGAATTTTATGCACTAAAATAGTAGTCATTTTTATAACAAGTTGGTACACGTAACACTGCTTATAAAGTTTCTTGAAATTTAAAATAAGAACTTGTGTTAATTAATAGGAGTCGATTTTAGTCCTCGTCGAACCCCAAACTCAGTTTTAGTTTCTGTTGACCCCTAGGAAACCGATTTCAACCCCAAGGGGTCGGTATCGACCACTTTGGGAATCCCTATTTTAAAGTATTAAACGCATATGTGTAATATCTAATATTTTAAAGTTGTTATAGTTGCTCACACCGCAATCACACGGCGGTAATTCATCATCACATTTCGTCGCGGGGTACATCTTGTTTTAACTATAAATTTAATTAATGATAATAGATTATATCGTTACTTTTTACAGATTTCAATTAGCATTAATAATAGCAAAAAGTCAATTTCGTTTACCTCACAAGATGGTCAGATACCTATTAGTGAAATCAAAGATTATATTCCGATAAAGCATTGCTTATTGGCGAAAATATTCAGAGAGCTATATCAGTGGTATAGTTGTAGCACGAATGGGTCGACTCGACCGGGGAAGGACCACGCTCTCACAGAATACCAGCGTAAAATAGTCGCCTAACGCTCTTGTGTTTCGTATGGTGAGTGTAGAGAACCGAAAACTCTTTTACTGGAAATTAGGCATTCTATCTTAGTCCTCACAGTTGACAACGCATCTGCATTTTGATTCGTAGTTGAAGATGGATGTAGATGTCTATTTGTCATAGCAACTACTTACCATCAGACGGACTCTGCTCGTTTGACACCCTTATCCTATAAAAAAATGGAAGTAAATCAGGAAAACTTAAAAACACTAATTTCAGACATACCATCGTCGAGCCGCAGAAACCCATGGTTTGAGTCGATGTGCAACTGTCTGTACTTGAGCATGACCCACTCTTTGCAGTCTGGACACTGTTCGGTCCTGGCGCCGCAGTAACCCTCGTGAAGAGGAAGCTCGCGACGTGACAGCTCCAACTCGCAGAACCTGAGCAGCAAAGGTTAAAGTGGATTTCGGAAGAGATCCCTTAAGCTGTAAGAGATAAGATGTGACTTTATTAAACTATTCACGTAGAGAAAACATGGTGGGATTAATCAAAACAACAATAGCCTAATGAATTGCAAAAATAAAGGTCGTAGATTCGAATTAACCATTTGCATTCTATCCTGAACCAATCCTAGAACAATAATTTAAAGATTAAATAGAGTGGTTAACGTATATTAGCAATAGGATTTGTTAGGACCTCAATAAAACTTGGAACTCGATGGGATGATGATGACCAAAAAATACAGCGTGGTCTTGCCAAATTTTAAGTTTTAATTTTAAATTTGTTAAGTTTAAAAACGATATTAAAAAAAATATGTGGGTGTACACGCAAACGAAAGCGTCAATCATTTCTTTTTTTTTCCTTTCTCACAAAGACTTCTATGTATGCTACTAGGCCGGAAATCCAGAACAAAACTGTGTTACAGCTGTGGATCGCGTGGGCGAGAGCGCAGTCGGGTAGCTTGCACGGTAAACAGACACAGACCGACTCATCCACCACGTCCAAATGCCTACAGATTTCTTGCTACAACAGATGCCATCCGTAGAGATCGTGATACTTGGCGATTTTAACGCCCACCACGCCGAATGGCTCGGTTCACTGATCGTGCGGGGAGATCTGTTTATGACTTTGCCTTGGCATAGAATTCCAGAACACACCTTCCCTGTCGAAACTTCTGCTAACCTCTCATCCGAACGGATGTCAGGTTTCCGCCGACGCCCCTCAAGGCTCTTTAGATCATTGTCTGATCCGGAGTGTGGTGCCACTCACGCTCCCTTCGCGGTTGCGTTCTGCATGCTACCGCCGTGTTTGGCAATACAGGTCAACGGATTGGGACGGATGCGGTCTTTCTTCGCATCCTACCTATGGGGCCGGGTTTGCCTCTCGCCGGATGATCCCAGCGCTGTTGCTGACTCTGTCACTATTGTGCACTACAGGGAATGGAACTATTTATTCTATCATATGTGGTACCCATCGGAGGCCGAGGCAGCCTTGGTTTGGTCGCTCCTATAAGACTGCATTACGCAGTTAGCAGGATTGTTATCAGGCCTTTTTTTTCGTGGGGAAATCCTCATGGATACCTTCCGCTGCGGGTGCAACAAAAAGGTTATGCCTGACTCCTACCGGCTAAAACCCCACCGTGGTCACCATCAGCGTATAAGCCCTCCCGGGATCTCCGTTCGGAACGCAACCGGGGCCCCTCCATCGCTTTGCTACACTAATAGCACGTCCCAGGGGCAGTACTTTCTGCCCCCATTACCCTCGCAGTGCTACCACGATGTCTCGAGACCACTTCCGAGCCATCTTCCTTCTCGGGGGTTACATAACTAAGCGCTCGAAGCCCCCGCCTCGAAGATCAGCAACCCCAGAGGCCCCGTTTCTGGTAGGGGAACACCGTTTTAAAGATTATTATCAGGCCTGGGCTGACGTTTCGGCGGCTCGGGATATAAACACCGGCATGCTTAAAAAGAAGTATCCAGGTCCTTCAAAATATATATTGCCAAAGCAAAGTATGACCAAATTGGCAGAATTGGCGAGAAATTAGTTCGCCTTCATTCGGGAACCCATGCATTCTGGTCTCTCGCCAAGGCTGTCCAAGGGAATTCCTGTAAGCCATCACTACCATCTCTTTGCTTTTTTACGCATTTTCTTTAGCGTGCAGTGCAGTTTGTTCTCGGCCAGTATGTTTATACAGTAAATGTTCAAAAATGAATTTGCAGTCGTAAGCTGTAACAGGATTGCTATTCCCTTTAAAAAATATATAACCGTGTGATAGTTCCGTGAATCTATCGCGCTATATATTGAAAATGGGCCAAATTAATAGTACCCTTAACCGACGAGCATCTATGCGTAGGTATATAGATGTGAAGATTTTTTTTTAGGAGAGGGGGCAAACGAGCATGGGGCTCACCTAAGTAAGTAACTACCGCCGCCCATGAACAACTGCAACACCAGGGGAACCAGGGGGATTGCAGCTGCGTTACCGGCCTTTTAAAAAGGAGTAGGCTCTTTTCTTGAAGGTCCCTAAGTCGTATAGGTCCGGAAAAATTGCTGATGGTAATCGATTCCACAAGGAAGTTGTGCGAGGAAGAAAAAATCTTCTAAAACGCACAGTGGTGGACCGCCAATCATCCAGATGGTGTGGATGGTATCGGGAGTTCTGCCTCGATGTGCGTTCGTGAAATTCTGCGGCTGGGATTAATCCCAACAATTCCTCAGAGCACTCCCCGTGGCAAATGCGAAAGAAAATGCAAAGGGATGCAACATCTCTTCGCAGTGCCAATGAATCGATCCGATCGGAAAGGACTCGGTCGTCGTCGATTCGAGCCGCTCTGCGCTGGATGCGGTCAAGTGGAAGGAGCTGGCACTGGAGAGCCCCTGCCCAGAGATGGGAACAGTATTTCATGTGAGGCCGAACCTGCGCCTTGTAAAGTTGCAAGCGATGTGCCGGCATGAAATACTGTCCCGCTCTGCTGAGCACGCCAAGCTGTTTAGAGGCCAATTTGGCCTTCTCTTCCAAGTGACTACGAAACTGCACGTCACTCGATATCGACTCCGAGGAGTCCGATACTGACTGAGGCAAGAAGGGGAGAGCCTTGAAACTGAGGAGATACGACAAAGGGGTTTTTTTTAGCGGTAAACGCGCAATCTTGTGTCTTCTTAAGATTAAACTGGACTAGATTTAGTCGCCCCCAATCCGAGACTTTGTTCAGCAAAGACTCGACTTCAGACACAAGTTTGATTCGGTACTCGGCGACGTTTTCGAGACGAGATATATTGGCACGGCCGGTGTATAGAGCATCACCAGTGCTGTCATCCGTATAGTAATGAATGTTACCAGTTAGCAACATATCATTAATATGCAGAAGAAACAGCGTTGGTGATGCACACAGCCTTGTGGAACACCAGCGTTAATAGGCTAGTCGGAGCATGCACCGTCTACAACGACCTTGTTGCTCCGATCTGCAAGGAAGCTGGTGATCCAATTGCACAATTTCTCGGGAAGCCCATAGGAAGGGAGCTACGAAAGAAGCGTTTTGTGCCAAACCCGATCGAAGGCCTTCGCAATGTCCAAACTAACGGCCAACGCCTCCCCCTTGGACTCTACTGCCTCCGCCCATCTATGAGTCAGGTAGACCAGAAGATCACCAGCTGATCGACCCTGACGAAAATCGTATTGGCGGTCACTAATCAGCTGGTGATCCTCAAGGTACCGCATGATCTGGCAAGTACCGCATTAATAATAGATTCCATTATTTTGGAGAACAAGGAGGTGATGGCGATAGGCCTGTAGTTGGACGGGTCTGAGCAGTCGGCTTTTTTAGTAATCGGGTGGACAAAAGCATTCTTCTGAGGTGAGAGGTGTGTGCCAGGATCGTGCCAAATGGAATTCTGTAGTCTCTGCCTACCCCTCTAGGTTACAGGCATGAGTGCATTATGTTATGTCGTAAAGGTACGCTACGAGAAATCTCAAGATTCTATAACTTACGACTTATGGCAGCTTATCTTGGCCGGGCTGAAGTTGGCTCTCCGAGACATTACCGAATGTACCGATCATGGTGGTCTGGCGGGAAGTCGATAGAGATGTGCCATTTTTCTATTCGAATATCCACAGTCCCTCTGAAATCGTTCTATTAATTTTCATTAGTCTCCTTCAGCCCTAGGCAATTACTTCTGGACATAATTCTCCCCCCAAGAAGCTATGATTTGGTAATCGCTGTACGAGACTTTTTTCATAGCACAGGGTGACAAACGAGCACACAGTCCACCTGATGGTAAATGGATACTGTAGCCCATAGACATCTACATTTATCCTCAATTAAGAATCAAAATGCAGATGCGTTGCTACTCCGAAGACTAAAATGGAATACCTCGTTTCCAGTAAAATGGGTCTCCGGTTCTCTACGCTCGCCATACGAAACACAGCAGCATTAGCTGCTATTTTACGCTGGTTTTCTGGGAGAGCGTGGTCCTACCCCGGTCCTACAACCATATTATAGTTGCAGCGTTGCTACCACGTTTATTTCTAGCATTTTTGACATTGCCTCTCGTAATTGATCTGAGTGTTTACATCTAATATTTCTAGACAGTTTTTGGAGCCAATGAGAAGAAAGATTTGATCTTGCTAGTCTCAACAACGTTATACTTAACGACGTCGCGGGACGTGTCTTCTTCTGTCATTGGAACATTTTTTTTAATAAAAATACTGGCAATGCTTAGCATAAGTTACGGGAATATTAATTCCCTTTTACTAACATTCCCTTGAACCACTCCTAGTAACCTTAAAATGCTTGCGTCAGGAGTGTTCATAACAGTAGTTCGAAACCACGAGCTTTTGAGTTTGCGGTAAGCCAACTAGGCTACTGACGCCACATTATTTTATAGTCGATCTTAACGTCTCCATTGTTTTTAAAATGAACGCGCCTTACAAAATAATTTACAACTCCTATGTAATATAAACAAGTCTATTTATTTCTCGTTTTCCTATACAAAATATATTTCTCTTGAGGTAATTTCACCGCAAATTTGGCAGCGCACTCGCTACTGTACCGCAAGAACCAATTAGTTTGTAAAATACACATTGTGTTTTATTTCTATTTAAAGCAACAGCCAAAATTGCTGTGAAAATTTTAATTAGAAGTAACAACAACAGTATTTGTTTGGTGAAAGCGGGTACTTAAGAAATAAAAAAAATATTCTAAAAATACTATATGAATCGACACATTTGACAACACGACATTACAAAATATGTGTGTTGTACTATAAGGGTTATTTTTCTAGGAGTAGCCAAATTCTAAACTTAAGTTCAAACATTTAAACAATGGTATACGGTTACTGCAGTTTTTGAAAATACGAGTAAATAAAGCTTCTACTTTTCTGTGTGAGATTAAATTCACAACGTTTTGCCGACCGATCGACCCTTAAAAATGTGTGCGTGTGTAGTAAAATAGTAGGCGTTAGATATTTATGAAAGACAATCAGTTAAAATAATGCATTACCACGCATTTTTAATTTAAAAGAAAAAGGACAGAATGTTTGAGATTTTTTTAATTAATTTTTCTTCACCATTTGTCTATAATACTTATTCTGAACCTTCTCTGCAAATTTGGCCGGTTATTGCAAAATAACCCTGTATGAAGTACGCCTATGTACCAAAAAAAAACACACCGTTACTATTTCAACATATCTAAAGTCCACAGATGAACAAAGGCCTCCTCCATAACTTGTCTCATAGGGGGATATATGTTATAGTTGCCCACTTGGCAGGCGGGTTAGTAAACGCAGTTTTTATTTTTAGCTGTAGTTAGCCCATCTCCTGGTTCAGCTTCCCTCTGTCACCTCTAACGACACTCGCGGGACGATATGGGGTAGTGGATATTCTTACACAGCCACTACACGGTGGCAAAAAACACACACACGAAACATAATATTACTGATAATAAAAGATACATTTGGTCATGTAGAAAGAATGAACGAGGAAAGAGTGACAAAGCAAATTTATGTTGCAGAAGTGAACGGCAGGGTCGGGAAGGGACGCCCTAGACGAAGATTTATCGACCAAATCGGCGATACATTAAAAATGGGCCAGATTAGGAGTACCCTTAACCGAAGAGCGTGTATGCGTAGATATATGGATGTAAAGGAGGCGAGAGAGGTGTGTCAGGATCGCGCCAAATGGAAGTCCTTAGTCTCTGCCAACCCCTCTGGGTGACAGGCGTGAGTGTTTGTATGTGTGTATGTGTAAAAGATACAAAAAACATATAAAAAAAAAGTAAGATAAAGTTACAACTTATATGTTATGTCCCACAGCTGGGCACTGGCCTGCTCTGTTATGTTTATAAAGGGTCTAGATTCGGTCGCGCTGCTCCAGTACGTTAGCGGACTTCACATGTCCTCGAAATACTCTTAGACATGCATGTTTTCTCACGATGTATTCCTTCACCGCCGAGCACGTGTATATCAGCAATTACACAGGAAATTAACATGGCATTTCATGGCACTCGCTCTCGCTTGCTCTCATTCCTACTACTCGAGTTGCTCGCGTACAATGCGTAGGTTCATATTTATCTTTATATATAAAAATTTCGTGTCACGTTGTTTGTCCGCGATGAACTCCTAAACTAATGAACTGATTTCAATGAAATTTGCACACTCTGCGCAGTTTGGTCCAATTTCAGAGATGGGATAGTTTTTATTCTGATAAGTGACACTCAATATTTTTTTATTACGAATTTAAGGATTTTTTATATGAATGGTCGTCGAAAACGGCAGAACAACGTCTGCCTAGTCAGCTAGTGTACATATATAATTTTCCTGTCCGTGTGTATGTGACTGAACTCTTGCTAAACGGCTGGATCGATTTTGATGAAATTTTGTATGAGGAATTAAGTTGATTCGAGAAGACTTGAACACACACTTGAACCAGGTAGGTGACGCTGTTATCGAGATCTAGAAATCACCCGTGCCAAGCCGTGGTCGATCGCTACCGTGTACAAGGAAATGCCAGAAGAATATATAGCAGTGTGAACATGGCTCTAAAAACATAGCATTGTGAACATCTCATTTAAGCCAGGTATAAAATATATTACAGTAGGAAATGTCTTTAACCAGCCGTAGACTTCTACAGGCTGATGAATAAAATAAAGAATTACCTGCATGATTTTACTGTGTGGGCACACGAATCCCTTATGTGATCTTCCATGTCAGTTCCGCATACTTTGTCTCCGCACTGCTTACAGGGCACTGACAAAAATATGATACTTGTAAAGGCAATTCAAAATCTGTATAAATCACTTATATATAAAAAATTAAAGATTACAAGATTATTCGTAGTCAAAATATTTAACCATAATCTTAAGTTCTAATAAGCGGCAAAGCCAAGCCGCAACGCATTATAGCTTTTTTTTATAAGATAAGGGTGACAAATGAGCATACAATCCACCTGATGTTAAGTGGCTGCTGTGGCCCATAAACATCTACATCTATCTTGTATTACGAATCAAAATGCAGATGCGTTGTCACCAGTGAGGACTAAGATGGAATGCCTAGTTTCCAGTAAAAAGGGTCTCCGGTTCTCTACACTCACCATACGAAACACAGCAGCGTTAAGCTGCTATTTTACGCTGGTATTCTATGAGAGCGTGGTCCTTCCCCGGTCGAGCCGACCCATTTGTGTTACAACCATAATATAGCTGCAGCATGGCTCTACCACGAATAAAGCTGCAGCACGAAATAGTCTGCTAGCGTACGTGAGGGTAATATGGTCACATTCTAATAACTAAAATCTACAGCCTTTTTGCATAGATAGCTCTATGATAACGATAGCTCTTCATCAGTTATCAATCAAATAATAAAAAGTCAAAAGGACGCTGCCTTATCGACGCCATTAAGACATGGCGATTAGCTGTTTTTTTTTATTATGTTTTTTCCAAGTGTTCCTAATTATTTCCAAGGCTTGTTCGCTATTTTTATTCTTAATAAATTAATTATAGTATACTTTCGTGTGGTTTTTCTCTGTCCTTCTTCTTGTTTTGGTCTATAGGACGGTAAAGCTTAAGGTGACCGTATTACCCTCACGTACCTTTAGACTGCGGCGGAAGGTACACGCTCGCACAGAACATAAGCGCAAATACATCTTAACTTACATGCTGTTAAGGTGTTCACCAATAATGAGTATTTGATACATGTTAATAAAAGCAACAAATCTGTAAACGTGGATAAAATAGCAAGTGAAACAAACAATCGTTTTCACATGTTGTACTATATTTTTTAGCTTAAAAAAATATAGGTCCTTTATTTACTTATAAAAAGGTGGCAACCCTAACACACAGTATATACAGGTACTTTGACCTAAAGGAGTAGATACCCGGCCATAAACTCCAAAAAAAATTCATACAGATACTTATGACACTATAATATCTCCTGTTAGCTTCCGACACCATTCGCAAGATATCGTCACGATCGAAATTGATCAAAAGAACATCATCTTCGTTAGCCAGGTATTCCAATCATTGCAGTCATCCACTTGCATCACACTAAATTTAAAAAAAAAACATACGTAGTTTGTGCATTTTGTCATGGTGGTTTTCCAGTTCCGCGAACGGCACGGGCTCCTTACAGACGGGACACATCCGGAAATTGCGCGCACAGTGCACAGAGTGGATTGTATAGTTCACCGCCGGAATCTCGCGCTTGCTGCAACAATATACAATAGAATTAAAAATAAGTTGATATTAAACGTGAATAATTCAAATTAAAAATTTTGTACTGATTTCAATTAAGGATAACTCAAAAACTACTGGTCAGACATTGATCAAATTTATATGGAACCACATCAGAAACACCAGCCAAAAAAACACACTCGAATTGAATACCTCCTGCTTTTTCAAGTCGGTAGAAAACGCATAAAATTATTCAAAAACTATAGCAAGTACATGGAAGCTGAGGGGCAAAGCGTAGTCGTAGCTCGGTGATAAACTCCTTAGCTATACATGCGTATCCTATGACTCAACCTGCTCATATACAAAATATAATGAGCGTAAAGGATTGTAAAAGATCACAAGCATCCAATAATTCCGTTCATCCTCAGAAAAGATTAATCACAAATCAATCGCAACCTGTGCTATCTATTCTATCCTCATATTACCCGTCCTGTGTTCGCAGAAAAATAAACATAAATATCCCAATGAGAACAATGCGCACTTTATGTGTAGTTCGTGTAAGAAAAAACCATTGCAAATATACTGATCCGTTGTTGTTAATATTTAATTGGTAGTTTGAATTACGAGACTTTGTCCTTACGCATCAAGTCCAGACATCGCAACATGCGAATTCCTTATCCTCCCAAAAATCAATAATTTGATAAGAGGTTTGAATTTTACGGAGCCAGAAGAGGCCGTGATAGTTTTCAATCAACGTAATGGATGCCATACACGATCAAGTTTACCGTCATGCTTGCAGCGCGCTTGATGCGGCGTCCAGTTTGCAGTGCATCCATATAGACCACTCATGTTCAATTTCGTCGTCAAGTTTGCATGATGCAGCAACAGTTGATGAACAGACGATGCGTTAGCCATCCTAGGCTTATTGCTCGCAATTAAAAAAACAAAAAGGAAAGATCGTTCGGTGTGGTGCAAAAACTGGTTAATGAAACGAAAAAAATTATCTCAATAGTAAATAGCAAAAAATGTGAAACAGACAAGTGACATCTCCGTGGCGCAGTGGCTTAGTAATGAGTTGCAGCGCTATCAACTCATCAATGATAGTTCGAATCTCGAACGGAACAAGTATTTGTATAGCCTACAAATAATTGTTCCAGGTCTAGATGTTTGTCCTTGTGCAATTTATGTTTGTTAACTGCCTCCACGATACAAGAGAAAATCCCAGTGTGGAGGTAACGTTATTTTTAACAAAATAAAAAAATATTAATACATTGCCGTGTAGTGGCGGTTAAGAATATTCACTACCCCTTATCTTCCCGTGGGTGTCGTAAAAGGCGACAAAGGGAAACAGGCAGGAGATGGGCAGCAGCATCTTGCTGATAACAACAAACTTACAATAAAAGAAACTGCGGTTGCCGAACCGCTCGCCAAGCGAGGCAGCTATGGCAAATACCCCCCTATGATGAGAGTATCAAAGAAACGGCCCCCAGTCCCCGGCGGCCCCGCTGTTCCTGGCTACGGTGGCGACCATGGTAACGGCGGGGCAGGGGGTGCTAAGAATCTCCGGTGAAGGTTCGGTTGCCACCTAAGACGACTCGACCTGGCAACATACAACGCACGCACCCTGAGGACTGACGAGAAGATCGTGGAGCTGGAAGAAGAGATAGACAAGGCAGATTATAGGATAATACGAAGTCCGATGAGAGGGGGAGGACACGGTAATCCTCGAATCCGGCAACTTGCTCTATCACCGGGAGGGCGACCATCTGTCCCAAGGAGGTGTCGGATTTATCGTCCACAAGTCTCTCGTTAACAACGTTGCAAAGATTGAGAGTGTGTCGACGAGGGTTGCGTACCTTATACTCAGAATCACCAAACGGTATTTGCTGAAGGTCATACAGGTTTACGCACCAACCTCAGCACACTCCGATGAGGAGGTGGAGGAAATGTATGAGGATATCTCTAGAGCCATGCATTCCTCCAAAACCCAATATACAGTGTTAATGGGAGACTTCAATGCAAAACTAGGCAAAAGAGAGAACGGTGAGCTGAAAGTAGGGAAATTTGGAATAGGGCAACGGAACCCAAGGGGCCAGCAGCTGGCCGACTTCATGGAGAAAGAGGGACTCTTTATGATGAACTCTTTCTTCCAGAAGCGGCCCCACAGGAAGTGGACCTGGTCGAGCCCCGACGGTTCCACAAAAAATGAGATTGACTTCATTATGACGACCAGACGACAACTGTTCAGTGATGTCTCCGTGATCGCGAGGGTGAAAACTGGTAACGATCACCGAATTGTTAGAGGCACACTGAACCTAAACGTTAAGTTGGAGAGGTCTCGTCGAGAAGTCGACGCTCCGTCCCCCTCGTGCTCTGTTCCAGAGTCCCGAAACCTTTCAGCTGGAGTTACAAAACCGTTTTCAGTGCCTAGAAGACTGCAATGAAGTGGACGATATGAATGACAAGCTCGTGGAAACTGTCCATGCGGTCGGAGCTAAGTTCTGCAAGACCCGCCGCAGAAGAACACAAAAACTCTCCGATCACACTCTCAATCTCATGGCTGTTAGACGGGAGATGAAGCTACATTCTTCAACAGATTTGACAGCATACAGGCAACTGAACAGACAGATCTCCAAATGCATGCGGCGGGACTTACGCAACTTCAATACAGCTTGTATTGAAGAAGCGATCGAGCGGAACCAAGGCTCCAAAGTCTTTGCCAGAGATCTGTCTGCCAGAAAAAGCCAACTGTCAAAGCTGAAGACCGAGTGTGGCAGCATCGTTTCCGGGGCACCTGAGATTTTGAGTGAGATTGAGACGTTCTATGGGCAGCTGTACACGTCATCGTTGGAGCCACACGCAAGTGTGAGTAACGATCCAAGAGCGAGTGTTATCCGACACTATTCCGAAGATATCGCGGACGTCAGTCTGAGCGAGATTAGAATGGCTCTCCAGCACCTTAAAAACGGCAAGGCCCCAGGCGAGGGTGGATTACAGCGGAGCTTCTGAAAGCGAGTGGAAGACCGGTACTTGAAGTCCTTCAGAAGCTATTTAATTCCGTCCTCCATGGTGGCACTACACCGGAGGCGTGAAGCAGAAGCGTGCGGTGGTCTTGTTCTTCAAGAAAGGTGACAACGCTCTCTTGAAGAACTACAGACCGATTTCCCTTCTGAGCCGCGTCTGCGTGCTGTTTTCGATAGTCATTACGAATCGTCTCGCGCGCAGACTTGACGACTTCCAGCCTCCCGAACAAGCCGGTTTCCGAAAGGGCTTTAGCACCATAGACCACATACATACCCTTCGGCAAGTTGTACAGAAGTCCGAAGAGTACAATTTGCCACTATGTCTGGCGTATGTGGACTATGAGAAAGCCTTTGATTCCGTCGAAATTTGGGCGGTGCTGCAGTCCCTTCAGCGGTGCCAAGTTGACTGTCGGTATATCGAAGTGTTGAAGTGCTTGTACAGTAGGGCTACAGAACCAGAGTACGAAACCTATCCAATTGCAGAGAGGTGTAAGACAGGGTGACGTCATATCCCCGAAACTCTTCACCGCTGCATTGGAAGACGTTTTCAAGCTTCTGGACTGGAAAGGGTACGGTATCAACAACAATGGCGAGTACATCACTCACCTTCGATTTGCCGACGATATAGTCCTTATGGCAGAATCGCTGGAGGGCCTAAGCACTATGCTCAATGACCTCAATAGTGTTTCCCAACGGATAGGTCTTAAGATGAACATGGACAAAACAAAGATTATGTTTAATGTCCATGTCACACCTATGCCGGTAGTTGTTGGGAGCACTAAGCTCGAAGTTGTTGACGAGTATGTTTACCTGGGACAAATAGTCCGACTAGGTAAGTCCAACTTCGACCGAGGTCAATCGACGGATTCAACTCGGCTGGGCAGCGTTCGGGAAGCTACGACACATCTTCTCGTCAGACATACCTCAAAACCTTAAAACGAAATTGTACAACCAGTGCGTGTTGCCAGTGATGACTTACGGAACTGAGACGTGGTCCTTCACTGCTGGCCGTATGAGGAAGCTCAAGGTCGCTCAGCGAGCTATGGAGAGGGCTATGCTCGGAATTTCTCTGCGTGATAAACTTAGGAATGAGGATATCCGCAGTAGAACCAGAATAACCGACATAGCCCAACGAATTAGTAAGCTGAAGTGGCAGTGGGCCGGCCATATAGCTCGAAGAACCGACAACCGATGGGGAAGAAAGGTTCTCGAGTGGCAGCCTCGTACCGGTAGGCGAAGTGTAGGGCGTCCCCCCACGAGATGGAGTGACGACCTGGTAAGACATGCAGGAAGTCGATGGATGCAGGTGGCTCAGGACCGTGCTTTGTGGCATTCTTTGGGGGAGGCCTATGTTCAGCAGTGGACTTGTGAAGGGCTGTAATGATGACTCAATTCGACTGTTTTTTTAATGTGTGTAACCTCAGAACTTTTTTCTAGGTGAATAGATTCTGATGATTCTATTTTATTTGAAAGCTGGTGCTTATAATTTAAACATCACATATAAATTTGATCAAGATCTGACTGTACTAGTCATTTTGTAATTATCCGTAATAATGCGTATTCGTATTGAAGTCGGTTGTACAAAAATTTTAATTTCATTAGTTGTCTCTCTTCCTCTCTTTTAAGAAAACGTTACTTCCACACTAGGATTTTCTCCTGTATCGCAGGGACAGTTTACATACATAGAACAAACCCAGAACAATTATTTGTAGGTCATACAAATACTTGTTACTTCCGGGATTTTTTCGGGGGGCTATTAGCGCTGAAACTCATTACTAAGCCACTGCGCCACGGAGCCGTCACTTGTCTGTTTCACATTTTTTGCTATTTACTATTGAGATAATAGTTTTCGTTTCGTTAACCAGTTTTTGCAAAGTAATTGCGAGCAATAAGCGTAGGGTGGCTAACGCATCGTCGTCCGTCACTAGTGACGCCATGGTTTCAACTGATGCGGCATCATGCAAACTTGACGGCGAACTTGAACGTGTGTGGCCTATATGGATGCACTACAAACTTGACGCCGCTTCAAGCGCGCTACAAACTTGGCGGTAAACTTGATCGTGTATGGCATCCATTATGACATCTCGCGCACCGGCGTTCAATGCTGTGTTCTCTCGGTTCTCATTGGTCAGCTAGGCTTAAGCGTCTTTCGCGCGCCGAGCCGTGTTGAATTGTTTTAATTTTTCATTATCTCTTAAACTATGCGACCAAATAACATGCTATAAGGAGCAAATTTTATATCCATAAAATTGTCCAAATTATGTAGTAATTTTCGTTCGTAAGAATTAATCCAACATGCCTAATGATACCGCTCATAAATCACTTCCTAACTTTTAATATTTTTTTTGTCACAAAATACCTTATTGTGGCTTATGTATAAGAGATAGGCATATGGTGCCACGGACTTTTTATAGATGGAGTAAAAGGTCTATACTTTTGTAGAACATTGTATTCACATATCACTATCCATAACGCCAGCACACGCGAATGAAGCAGTTCAGGGATGCTTTGCTTGCTTAACAATAATATTTAAGGCTAGCTGTGAGGTGTAGCCTAACACCTAGATAGCCTATACTATTTTGTTGAGATCAAGAAATCAACTGTCCGAAGCCAGGGCAGATCGCTAGTCATTAATACACAATTAAGTGTGATGTGCATGCGACCAAAAATATGCTCAGCATAATGCCGAGCAAATACTGAACCTGTTCCCGTTGCATCACATTATACTCATATACTTAGTAATATCAGTTAATATGTTAATTCAACATGTTCATTTTCTAAGACTATATTTAGGTATATACTTAGTTTATAATAGTAAACTTAATATTATGTGGCAATAAATATTTTTATTGTTATTTTCCACTCCAATAACGACATAAAGGTATATATTCTAATAAAAGATGTAAATTAGAAATAGGAAGATGACTAGAGAGTTAGTAGATCTTAAAATAATCGGTCTGAAAATATTGTTTTCAAAAAGTGAGGGGTCTATACTGCTGTCATAAGAAAAAAGGGCGCATAGGGAGTTAAATATACCATTCGACTCAAGATAAAAATGCGCATCTACTCAATTTTTTTTAATATTCAAAAATATCAATAGTTTAGAAAATATCGTAAGAGTTTTAGACGTAACTGTTGATCAAAGATGACATTTTTTAGTAGAAAAGACATATTCAAATTCAACATAAAAGAAAAGACTTATTTAACCAGTTGCTACGTCATCTTTAACAATATTTGCATCGATTACTTAAATAAAAGACGCTTTTGGTTTCTTACGCCCAATTATCTTGGTACTCACAGTGAATAAAATAATTATAGGTTAGGCGCAAACGACATTGCGTTTTTAAATAGCACATATATTACAGTAGACCGGCGCAAATTAATTAATCTTTTTTTACATATATGCCATGGTCAGAGCAAAGGATTTTTATAAGACATTTATAATTAAAAAAAATTCTACAACCAACTTCAAAATATATTATTATGGGTAACTCAAAAACTATTGGTCAGACCTTGATCAAATTATATGGGACCATAAGAGAAGCACCAGTTTTCAAATAAAAAAAAATCATCAAAATCGGTTTACGTAGAACAAAGTTGTGAGGTAACACACATAAAAAAACATACAGTCGAATTGAGTACCTCCTCCTGTTTGAAGTCGGTAGGAAAGTGGCGAAATATTTCCGACTAGTTTTGCATCAGGATTGAATATTAATTACAAAAACAAAAACTAAAAGGAACACAAATTATTTTCAAAACATCAAAACAAAATATATACCTCTAAAATTTAATAATTTGCTTATTAATTATTTTTATAGCACACTTTTATTGTAATTGTAACCAGTAAATCGAAATTAAATAGTTTGCCTTCAGTGTTTTTCTAAATTATCATAAGTTTTGAGTAACAATTACATGACTAAAATATACCTCAAACTATAGTCGTCCAAAATTTGCTTTCACAGCATCAAAACCAAAATTATGCCTATAAAACTCAACTGTCACTTATATTTATTCTAGGTGAACCGATTTCAATTATTCTTGTTTTATTTAAGAGCTGGCATTTCACATGTGGTCCCATACAAATTTGATCTAGGTCAGACCAATAGTTTTTGTGTTATACTTAATTATTTATATTGAAGTGTGCTGTACAAAATTTTTAATTTTTATTTTTGTTGTTATTTTTTGTGTCTCACTACCAACAATTTAGTAATATTTACTAAGAAGAAAAGCAGTAAATTACTATTAGCGTCCTTTCAACTTCAAATGACTTTTCCTAAATATGTAAAAATGTTAAATGAATGGCAATTTTTTCTTATTTATTGGGTGGGAAAGACGCAAATGGTTATATGCGTCTTTTCTTCAAAGTTTTTGTGTGGCTGGGTGTATTTTGTAAGCTAAGATGAAAAGGAAAATTCGCTTTATTTAAATAAATAAACAAATTATCAAAAAAATAAGTTCGTCTTTAAAATCTTCATGTCTCTACCTATCAATTTCAATTTTCATATTGATACTTTTTAATATATTTTAGACACAGCAAGGTCCGAAAGAAAAATTCATCTATTTTTTTTTATTTCCATTTTACGTTTTTGTTAGTTGCATCCTTCTTTATTATGATGGCGGTATACATTCAATGTGAAGAGCATTTTTTGAAGATTTCAATGCCCTATCAATGAATATTTGGATTGAACTTATTCAGGATTTTTAGGGAAGACCTATTACATGGTACTACAACAAAACACTCATAATCTCCATGACTGCAAATAAGGGCATTGTAAAATATTTTTTGGGAGATCACCCATTCTCCCAAAACTACTTTTACTAGCCCCACACCACACAGCTGATAAAGCGGGAAGAAAATGTATATTTTTTGGGGGTAATGAATATAATGAAAAAGGCAGTTTGGTGTCAAGGATATGTTCTATTTTCCACAGGTATTCTGTGAGTTTGGTCCTTTCTCAGACGAGCTAACCCATTTGAGATATAACCATAATATAGCTTCAACATGTCTCTACCACATATAAAACATAATTTTTATATAAGACTAAGTGTTGTTTAAAGTTTCTTTAGATAAAGAACATTAGTTTACTGAACTCAAAATAAAAAGTAAAGGTTTTTATTTTATAACTAAAACACTTGATTCGGTATTCAGTCATAAGATTATAAGGTACGTTGGGGTAAGATCGGTGATGGGGCAAGACCGTAGGATTCAAATTCCCGGCGAATTATGCTATACTGTGAAAAGCTAACAATATGCTACACGACGCCATTTCATCCTGCCCCGACCCTCAGTTCGCGCCAGTCACTCCGGCAAGTGGGACCTGTGCTGCGTGGCATTTTATAAAACAATGTAATTTTTGTATTATTTTTGTCCATCCGATCTTTCCCTATCAATTTTATTTACGATTTTTAGCGAGAATATGGCTTCTTTTGTTATTATATGGTGTGGATACTATTTTTTATGAAGTTATAGCTAAATAAAGCTGGTCCATGCAGGGGTAAGATCGCTGTAGGCCGAGATCCGATGTTTCCCCTCGTGAGTGAAGATCGGATGAATATTATCCGATCTTTGCCTGTTACAAATATGGCAGTGGTTGTAAAACTTTCATTGGTCGTGTATATTTTTTCGTTGATTACTCAATTGACTATGGGACTCAGTCTCGTTAGCAAGTCTGTATATTTAAAAGTAATAAAACAATACGATGGTTTTATTACTTTTAAGTACACATTAAAATACATTTTTTTTATAGGATAAGGGTGACAAAGGAGCACACAGTCCACCTGATGTTAAGTGATTGCTGCGGCCCGTAGACATCTATATCTATCCTCTATTACAAATCAAAATGTAATTTATAATAATTATTTAAAAAATAATTTATAATAATAAATGCCGCTTTGTTAAAATATTTATATCTTCCTTAACTCCTGCATTATCCCAGGGCATTTCGCCAGTCCTTACTGTTATTTTTTTTCCCATATAAAATCAAATGCATCCGATCTTTCTCTTATATTGAGTAATTCCATCTTATGTCATAACAAAGTTTGAGAAACATAAAATTACAATTTCTTTATATCAGGGATAAGATCGGATGGCAAGAAACAAAAAAAGAGAAAATCGTTTGGAACATTTGTTTCTAGTAATTTATAGATCATATTGAAATATGTTGTTGAGCGTTAAAGATAGGACAAATCTCTTTATAAACTTTTTTCTCTAAGCAGTAGAAGTGGTTTTAAATTTAAGTCCGGTCTTACCCCTTAATGGCCAATTTTTCATTATGCATATAAAAAAGTATGTCTAGTTTTCGCACACCTTTAAAGCAGAAACCGTTGAGTTTACACAAGCAAAAGATTCTCAGAGCTAAACTACGTTTAACGATTAACGGTTTGCTCCATGTTCCATAAATCTGACGTATACGAATGTCGAGAAATTAAAGTTTTTGGCAGACTCTTCCAACTATTCGAAAATCCGTTCGGTATTACCCCAACGTACCTTAGTTACGCGTTTGGACAAACACTCACGAATTTTTTTGTTAAAAATAATAAATTACAAAGTATATTTTATTTGTAAACATTCAACAAAAGTTAATTTTTCTCAAACAATTCAGAGTAAGGTAAACAACTCCGGAGAAGTAACTGCGTGCAACAGACGTAAAATCTGCTCCATTTATCTAAAAATAAACCGAGATCGTACAAAGATATAAATAGGATAAATATTGACACAACATCAACTACATTTAGACTGTGATCTTAGCTTACCAGTTTTGGCATGTTTTAGTCTCTCCTTCATCCATTCTTGAAGCAAAGAATTAAAATTCAACACGACAATATTCTCGCAGTAACAAACGGCAAATGAAATATTTAACTGAGAGCACCTTTTTAATATTTAATTCTAACTTTTATCACGAACACGACGTATGTTATTTTAAAAACGCTAATTCATTTTATCACGTATTGGAAAAATCGTAATACAAATTAAAAATACAAAAATTATTAGGTAAATTGTTATAAGGTAAGGTCAGTTTTCACGATCAGCGTTGCCAACACCAAAAAACCAAAAGCGTTGTCAAATTCTACGAAAATCGATATCAAATTCCCCAATTTAGGGACAAAACTTCAACAGATTCCCCACATATTCTCCTCAATTTTATTTTAAGAAATGAAACAATTTTCTAAAAGATTTATTTTTTAACTAACATTTCTTTTTCATTTTTACTGATTTTATATTAAAAACCATTTTGTTTTTATGCTGGAGGGGTTGATAAGCCTGCTTCTGTGTTGCCACCTTGGTGATTTTGTTACTAGATCTAGTCGTTCGTCGTTCGTTTTCTTTCTGGCCTTAGTCTATGGTCGGGGAATCCTAGTGGCTGTCATTTTATAGTTAGCGTACGGCCGCTGAGTTATTACCGATTTGACAGATTATTCTTAAATTAATCGATATAACCTTGCAGGAGCGACACATTTGCCGAATGATTTAGAATACCTCTTTAATATAAAACTTTATGTGAAAATGTCAGAATCAAGTAATTTTCCAATAAACTCTGTTTCAAAACTTAAAATAGTTTGTAAATAATATGAAAACATTTATTTTTTGTTCTTCGGCGCGCTTGTACAAAGTTACATCGTGCGTCTAGTTTTCATAGTGATGTGCTTGATAGTATTCGGTCCGAATTCATTGGAATAGATATGATATTTATTTTATTTGGATTTTTTTATTTTACTTATTCCTTCGAGCAACTAGACTAATATGTTACCATTTTTTTGCGTCTCCTAATTGCACTGTGTTGCCAGTATCTCTATGATTTTTAAGATTTATGTGTGATCCAAAGACAGAAATACTGTTTTCTATGATTTAAAAATAAATACAATTAAAATGATTATGTATAATTTTTAACATTCATAATATATAAAACAACATTTAATAAATATAATTTTCTCCCTCAATTAAGCAATGTTATAGGTGTATTTTTTTAAGTAATTGGCGATACTATTCTGGCAACACCCTTACCACCGCTATTTTAATCTGTTTAGTCGTCTTCCGTACTCTCGTGCGCACAGACTACGTTCTCTTGTGTAACCGTTGTTTTTTGACTTGGCTTTCTCCTGTTTATCGTTGCGCTTTATTGGACTAATTTTGTTTGTGTTTGGTAATTTTGTTGAAAATGCCGAAACGAGGAAAAACATTGAATGGTCAATGTCGTGAGCTTGTACTAAAGCTACAGGATTTCTTTGAGCGTGAGTCACAAAATGGCGGCCCTTTGATTCCTGTCACTCAAGTGAAAGATCGGGTTTCACAAGCTCTTGGAATTGGTGCAAAAACACTATATAATATAAATAAAGAAAAATTTGGTGCTTCTGGAAGTGAAGATAATGTTTTACGCACTCCTAAGAAAAAACGAAGACAAAAGCCCGTGACAGGTGTTGATGTTTTTGATGCAGATGCAATAAGAAACCACATATATGGTTATTATACTAGGAACGAGTTTCCAACTAGACGTTTGCTTTTGGTCTCTTTAAAAGAAGCTGGCTTGTTTAAAGGCGGTAAAACGGCGTTGTCAAAACTATTGCACGAAATTGGGTTTGAATATAAAAAAACGAATAAAAGGAAAATATTAATGGAAAGATTTGATTTAATAATTAAAAGGAGCGAGTTTTTAAGAGAAGCCAGAAAAATCGAGTCTTGGGACAATGTCGTTTTTGTTGACGAAACATGGTTAAATGCGAACCACACTGTGTCACGCTCTTGGACTGACGAAACAAAAGCATCAACCTCAAATGTTCCAATTGGAAAAGGATCGCGACTGATAATTTGTCACGCCGGTTTTGCTGGAAGTGGTTTCTTTGAAAATGGACTGCTGGCTTTCGCGTCAAAAAGTACTTCCGAATACCACGAGGAGATGGATACAGACACTTTTACGAATTGGTTCGAAAATCAATTATTACCCAGCCTGCCAGAGCCTTCTATCATAATAATGGACAACGCTTCATATCACTCGAAACAAGTGAATAAAGCGCCTACTCAGGCCGACAAGAAAGCTGATCTCGTAGCATGGCTACACCAAAATGGAGTTGAAACTACTGCCGAAATGCTAAAGTCTGACTTAGTAAAGTTGGTACGCGAAAATAAAACATCAAGAGTCCGTTATGAAGTAGATGAGATAGCTCTAGCACATGGACATCGGGTACTTCGAATTCCGCCTTATCACTGCCAATACAATGCCATTGAGCTAATATGGGCACAAATCAAAGGTATTGTTTTTTATCGCATAAGTTATGAATATGAATAACTTGTACTATTATAACATCCAATATTCAGCATATAAGTAAAAAGATACATAACTAAGAAATAAATATCTCATGTCCCTTACATGTAGGTAATTGTGTAACATTTCGTTTATTTAATGTAATAAATTAACGTTATTTAATGTTTACATTACAGGTTACGCATCTCGTAATAATACGACTCCGCCATTTAGTACTAATAAAATCATGGGTCTATTAAAAGATGCTTGCAGCAAAATAACGAAAGAAGATTGGGTCAAGGTCGTCGAAAAGACTTGAAAACTAATAACAGAAGATTATGAACGCGATATAAGAATGGACACCATTATAGAGAATGAAATTGTCATACAAGTGACTGATAGCGATGACAGCTCTGGCGAATCTGGTTCAGAGTCTGAATAATTGTTTTAATAATAGTCATTTATAAAAACATCTTGTACCTACTCTATTCATTAAAATGTGTAACAGTGTTTACAAATTTGTTTTATTTTGATATGTCCTCGACCAATTATCTACGCCCATCAAGGATACTCCACCTAATAAAGAACCTGTGTCTTTAACTATTATTGTTTTGATTTTATTTAATTACACACTATACTAGAATATTTAAAAACAAACTGTTCCAAAATGATATTAGGGTTACTGGTTCAGTCACTTCACTAGTATTGTCAATTCGTCATGTGTCAAATCGGTAATAACTCAGCGGCCGGACTATAATAACATTAATATTTTATAGATAGCCTATGGAGAAGGCATATTCCACTATAGAAATAATAGTTATACAAATATCTATAATACCGACACACACTTGTCAAATACAGTTTTGTCTCTTTTTAACAAAGCAGTAGCTGCAATAGAAAGGATAGACATCTACAGTTGGTAAAGTGCTTATTTTGGTAATACTTTCGTGTGACGTCATTAGCGCATCCATGCGTGACTGCGCCGCCTTGTTAAGTGCCAAGTTTTGAGGTAGATCTGCAGTCAAACTGTCAAAAAAGCAGTGAAATAGTGTCGTGCACTCTTATCTATGGTGTCGATAGAAATTATTTTAATAAATTAATTTTGTTTAGAAATGAATAAATAATAATAATAATAGGTTATAAATCCAGGATATCATTTTTCATCCACCGTTTAGGTTTAAAGACATTTATTCTCATAAAAACTTACAATAGTCACTTACACGAGAACAGTAAAGAGAATAACAAAATTTTAATTCCTTATGTTCGTCATTGTAAATATGTGTGTACTCAATTCACACATTCGTCTGTTTTGTGTAATTTTGTAAAACGTATTCTGCTAATTTTGTTTTGAATGTGTTAAATGAGTGTACATTTTTAATGTGTGCAGCTATGTCAATAAAGCTGCGCTCCTTCATATATTAATGTTTTTCTACCATAGGACGTTCTAGTTTTAGGTAGGACAAGAAAGCTGGCTCTTCTCGTTGTTCGTTGTCTGAGGTGTTTTGCTTTTGTGAAAGTGATACTGAAATGAATGTTTTTGTCAATAATTTTCCAAATTAAAAGACATGAGTAGTAAATGTATAACTGTTGTATGGTCATTGTACACGCTCCTAGCTGTCCCGACAAAGATCGATCACACAGGGGCCCATAGCTGTAGACGCGACGAACAACTAAGGACGGGGCCGAATGGCCTGGTGGAAATGTTCTATCCTACTACACTTTAAGGGCAAGGCTAGTCGAATAGAGAGTACTTACCTATATCTGAGGCGACGACGGTCTCAGGGCTCGGTCAGGCCGGAGGTGTGTATGTGTTGCGTGTAGTGGTGTTTTTGTGGTGTTGGTTGTGACAGACCTGACTGGACCGTTGAAGTCGGCAGCAGCCCGGACTTCGCGGCACCGGTCCAAATTGTGGTAATCTCCAGCGGCGTCACCCACAGTCACTTTCTTTCTTCTTCACGATGACAGTCTATTAACTTTATCGTACAATTAACTAACTTCCAGACGCAACTAACTCCCGTTTATTATAAAGCGTAACACACAACACGAATACAGAATGTTCGGATCAAAGGTCACTTCCGTTTCGCGTGGCAACAATTATTTCTAGAACCTAACACAACCTTCTCTAGTGTCACGAAGTTCAGCGTTCACCCGACAACGGAAAATGTCTCCGAACTATATCAAATGCCGCACGAGCAAATTAATATTGTCAAATGCACTTATATACGCTATCAAATTAGAATAACCAAATTCGAGGTAAATTAAGCGCGCACAACCCACAAATTCAGACGTTGATCGCAATCAATGTTAAATTCCTAACAATTTGTCAACCCGGCGTCTAATTCTAGACTACAATTCCACGTCGTTGCACCATTTGCCAACAAAACCGACTCTAAAAAATGGAGGTTATATAGAGCGACATCACGACGTGCTCTCGACAGCATGTGTAGGTGCCGCAGATCCCGAGTTCGCTTCACTCGCTCTTGCACTCAATCGGTGTCCAAAAGGGTGGCCAAGTTGTCAAAAAATAGCAAGCAATCGGTGTCCAGAGGGGT